AATCAGCTCAGCTCTCGGCATAAAAAGCACGGCCACAGAACACGGCCGTGTACTGTTTTAGGTGTGCCCGTGTTTTGGCTCCAGCTCACCGAAATGACTTCCGAACGCCCTGAAACTCGCGCTTAGCATTCCCTTTGACACCTGGGACCTGAAACATGACAAAATAGCACAACCCGGCGTAAAATAGGCCAAAATACATGACCATGCCTCTCAAACGGATAAGAACTAGGGGCGCAAATATGTGTAATTACATCGTTATCAAACTCCCCCACACTTAACCGTTTGCTTGTCCCCAAGCAAACCTAACTCAAACCAATGCAACTCTCCAGACCTCTACAGCAACAAACAACCCAGATCTTAGGCAGAGGACTTCCTAGATCATTTAGCAACTTACGAGGTCAACCGACGCACAAGTCATCTCATAGCTTCTTCGGCGAGTCGGCATCATGGCAAACAGTGAACAGAGGACAAATGAATTGTGGATGAAGAGATTCTCAAAAACAAAGGATCATGGACTAACATTTTTCAAGGTGCTCTATTTTCTTTGAAGATGGTTGGAACCCCTTTTCTTTCTGTTTTGCTTGTTTTCTGCTATTTTTTTCTTTCTTTTCTTTTCAAGGGTCCCAACCTGCTCTTACCGGCCATGCCAGGAGCGGATGTCTCGAGCCTCGTGCGGGGGAAAGGCATGTAAGGGGGCTGGAGGTAGTAGGTGGAAATTGGGAACGAATTCCCGTCTCCCCTTACACACTTTCGCCCTATTCGCACGGGAGACGTTATTTTGAAGCACACTTTTGACCACCTGTTAAACTCAAAACATGATACAAGAGTCCATGACAGGCAGAGAATCCACAACACCACACAATTCAAGGGTCCTAAGATCACTAATTCACTCAATCAACCAACTCAATATGAAGAAGAAATGAGACTTCTTAAATGCATCAACATCCTCCATAGTGCTACACTACCTCCCTAGGTTGCATATTACTATAAAGACTGTCAATTCAAAGCATACTGAGCAGGCAATTGCAAGGAACACGTACTTGGAGCCCTCAAATTTAAAAATTTGGACAGTGGACTAGGCTCCAAGCACACAAACAGATCTAATGCAGTCAAAAGATAAACATCTAACTCCCCCACACTTAATGTAACATCCCGTTCCGGCAAAACCCATATTTCGATCGCTAGAAAGTTCGCGATTTAAAATCGAGCATTTCGACACTATTTCGGCGAAAATCGGATTATCGATCGATCGGATAGGTATACGTATTAATTATAATATATATATATATATATAATATTACAATTAAGCGGTCACTTATATAAAGTTTCTCCCCCGTCCATTAATTATCATCATCAACATCATTTTTTTCTCATTTCCATCCGCGAGAGAAGCAGAGGAACAGAGAGCGTACAGGGGAGCTCGGGTAGAATTTCCAAAGCTCCAATCTTGAGCCCTAGTGATCCAAAAATCCCGAATTTCTTGAATTCCCGATCTGCCAAATTAGGGTTTCGGAGTATCCGGAAGCCGGATTGAGCCCAAATTTCATATACGAGCTTCCTGCAGCGAGATCATCAGCAGCAGCAGTAGATAGGTGTATAGGTGGGAGCTGAGAAAGAGTTGAAGGCAAGATGAGGTATGGTCTTCAACCATTCTGTGCTTGGACTACTACTCGGGATTTTGGCCAGTGATCCACACCTTTTTGTAAAAATGTTTTGAGAACGTTTTTCATGTGCATACTAGCTTCTGATGTAGTGTGAGATATCCACAGGTGTGGAAAGTTGATGATATGTGTATATGTTGTGTAACTGTGTAAGTTGTGACGACTATGACATGTATTAGTAAGGTATGCAGTTGCGGAGTATGAAACTGTGACTAGGGCTATGGAAAGCCAATGCTTATGGTTGTGAGTATATATGTTTGTGATGAATTATTTTGCAGGACAAGTTGCAAGAACTGTTAGCCCATTACGCGAGTAATTCATGTCGAAATTTTATTTAGATAAATTTTGATAATTAATGTAACACCCGAGATTAATTCCGCTGCAATTGTATGAACAATATGATTAGGTAATACGTATAGGATAGGGTGTTACACTTAAGATCGACATTGCCCTCAATGGAGAAGAGGGAAGGAAAAGGGGAACGATGTTACCGGTAAGCACGGACTGCAGGGGACTGGAAACGGGCCAGTCGGGGCAAGCACAGCCAAAGGGGAACAGAAGAGCTCAAACACAATATGTTAGGTTCAATGGTTAGCCCAATAAAATATCATCCAAACCAACAGAAAACAAACCAAACCCAAACCGGGTTACAATCCGACTCAAAACACAAGAAAGAAAATCAAACCGTGGTGGGGTTGCCTCCCCACAAGCGCTTCTTTACCGTCTTTTAGCTCGACGCCCATGGTGGATACTCAGGGCGGTGCAGGAACAGGTGCCTCCAAGAGCGGATCCACGTCGCTCTTGAGGTACAACTTGAGGTTGTGGCCATGCACCCGACGGATGCGACCACCATCATCAGTAAGCTCGACCTGCCCATCTGGCAAGATGCAGGCGAGTGAATACCCGGACGGCCAGGGTGGTCGTGGTGCAGGAGGTGGGACCAGCTCATAGTGGTCTCCACTCTTCTTTCGTGCAGGCTTAGCAACCTGCTGCTTCGGCCTCCACTCCTCCTTGAGCTTTTTGTTCGGAGGCGAGGTTGGATGGAGTGGTGGCGAAGGAATGATAGGAGGGTCCTGCAAAATAGGAGGTGCAGAAGGATACACGACAGGCTCGTGTACCTGATCAGACATAGCATGCACAGGCGTGACATCAATCATAGCACAGTGATCAAATTCAGTCACAGAAAAAGTAGTCTGTTCATCCCCAGCACGCAAGATCAGTTTACCATCATGCACATCAATAAGTGCCTTGGCGGTGGCAAGAAATGGCCTACCTAGAATCAAAGGCACATCCACATCCTCATGTATATCAAGAATAACAAAATCAACAGGATATGTGAATGCACCAACACTGACAAGCAGATCCTCTATGATTCCCCTAGGATGCACGATAGAACGATCAGCTAACTGAATGCTCATCCTAGTAGGGCTAAGTTCACCTAGGTCTAGCATTTTATACAACTTATATGGCATGACGTTTATGCTAGTGCCTAGGTCCGCCAAGGACTTGCCTACATGCATGCTGCCAATAGTAAGAGGGATAGTAAAACTCCCTGGATCCTTGCGCTTCTC